TGTGGTAACCAATCACTTGGCTCTCACATGAATCTCGTGCGTATTCTCTGTAGCCAGGATGCTTCAGGCCAGCAGTCCCAACACAAACGACTGGTGCACAGGCAACACGCTCCGATCCAAAACAAACAGGGCCCTCAGTGGGACAAGGTGCTTCATCACCAAAGGATCCACAGTGAGCTGCATCTTCCAGAATAGTTGCATGACAACCTTTGAGGTTCTCATCACAAGCCAAGGCCGTCAAATGCTTGACGTTCGCTGGAGTTGCCTCTGCTCCCTGTACTCCTTCACTGCTTCTGGACACCTGCGCATTTGAGTTGGCCGTGCCAGCTTGGCATGGGCTTCCCGATGTGTGCGGAGCGGCAGCCTTGCCGTGCCTCGGACTGCCTTCTATGGACTTGACTGGCTTCCCTTCAGGACGAGACACCACGCGAGACGCCACTGGTCCTTCTGAACTTTGAGTGTCGTTACTCTGTCGTGCTTGCCTTCGACCGGGAGCATCACGGAAATGCACCGAATGTCGACCAACACTCTCGATTTGTCTGCCAGATCTTCCAAACTCCACACTTGGAGAAGATCTACTTGAAGACGAGGCAGTCGGGTTGGTCTCAACAAAGTTTTCAAAGACAACATCAACCGCCGGAGACGAAGCGCCATCAGAGGCTCTGTTGGTCTGGCGGACTGTGGTAGTATCAACTGGGGTGCGTCGCACAGGTACTCGAACACGAGGTTTTGCTGCGCTTCCTTGGCTTCCCGGCGTTCCTGGGCTTCCTGCTGGGCTCTTGGAGAGGCTCGTTCCAGGTCCGGGCTGCTTTGCATCACGTCGACGACGTCCAGAACCCTCGGTGCCAGAACTTTGCTGCGCACTGTCCGGACTCTGTCGATTTGGACGACGGACAAGCTCCCGCTGAGATGCTGAGTGCCGACCTACACTTTCAATTGGCTTTGTCTTCGATATCCCAGTCTGACCCTCAATGCTTGGGGAGGATCTGCGAAGCACACCAGGAGATGTATTGCCACGCACAATGACTTTTTGGGTAGGTCCAGAAATTGATTTGCGGATGTCGCGACTGCCTGCTTGGTTGATGACCGTCACAACCTCTCGCTTTCCAAGACTAGGGCTTGCTTGCCCATCCGAGCGACCTTTGCTCTCAATCAGGTTCGTGCCAGCCGTTGTCCGTTCTGCTGACACTTGCACATCCTCTGTGGCATCTCCGCGAATGGGAGGGTTTGTCAGAGTACTTGTGTCACTCAGCTTTGCTGCAACAGGTCCACTAGCTGTGTTGGCACAAATACTTGCAGGTTCTTCTGTGACTTCAGCATTGAAGCCAGTTAAGTCCTTGAAGGTACGTATGACAGCTCCCCTGATGGCATCTAACGAACTCTCCCTCTTCCTTGGCAGGGATGTGCTGGAGCTGAGGGTGGCTTGTTGGGACGCCATGCCATCTGGCAAGGAAGACCTGTGTATCTGTGAGGTCGTAGCAGCA